GGGGCTCGGCAGGTGTTTTGGTGGTTAAGGATGCTGGATGCTTGACTCCCACATGGCAGTTCGAGTCCTGGGCCTGGTGACTTGCTTTCTTTCTCTCTCTCTCTCTCTCTGTCCGTTCTGGTCAAATTAAAATAAATAAAAAATAAAGTTAAAATTTTCAAAAAATTTTTAAAAAGATACTATTATGAGGGACCAGCAGATGGCATAGTAGTTACATTGCTGGACTCCCATGTGGTCAACCATGGTTCAAGACCCAGACCTGGTGGCTTAAAACTGAGGCCAGATTTGTTTGTGTGCAAGCCCCAACAAGTCTCCGAGAGGAGACTAGAGGAGAAGGGATTGCAGCATGGCCATCCCCCCTGGGGGATCATTTCTATTTCTTTGTTTCTCTGTCTCTCTCTGTCTCTCCAGCAAGCACACACACCCTATTGTCAAAATCTCTATATACAAAATAAATCAATAAAGATGCTGTTGAGGGAATGGATTCAGTGCGAGCAACTGTTTTAACAAGTAACTGTTTTTGCCCAAAACCTCAAAGTAAGAGGAGAAACTGAGAATTCCTCTTCCTGTTTCTGTGTAAGTAGATACTTGGGCTGCAGTTGGAGAGGTCCGTGGGCTGGTCTGACCTTGGCCCAGCTCGGAGCTGGACACTGGGCCTCACTACAAAATACGGACTCAGCTCCAGCTTCCCGCCAAGCGCAGTGGCGAGGGCAAGCAGGGCACAAAAACACGCAGAAAGCTTGAGAACACCGCCACGAGAAAACACAATTATATGCGTTTTTTTAAAAAATGTGATGTCAGCCTCCCCCACTCATTTTCCCTCATCACATCCAAATTTTATCCAGATGTGAACACTCGGGGCCTGTCTTTGTTCCTTCTCTGCTCTGGGCCCATCCTTTGGTTTTCCTTTGTGTCTCGAAAGATTTTAGTGTTATGCTTCAAGACATAGTCATGAAGTGCAGAGAGAGCTGGGGCAGGGCCCGGAGGTCGGGGTGGGCCCAGGACAGGAACAGGGAGGAGGAGTCTGAGCAGACAGTCACAGATGCTCCGAATGGTGCCTCCTCTCTGGGAGTGCTTAGTCCAGGTGACAAAAGGGTCCCTCACTCCAGACAAATGCCCTTAGCCATGCAAAGCCTTCCAAGAGGCAGCGTGCCAGATCTCACACTGCAAGTGGCATACACCTGCACGCACACACACACACACACACATGCACTCATATGCACTTATACAGACATGCACACACATGCATGCGCACACACATTCACACACATGCACACGCCCATGCATGCACACTCAACACTCACACACATATACACACATGCACACGCTCACACATACACACACACTCATTCACACATATATACATGCACATGCTCGTTCACACCCATGCACACATGTGTACATGCCTGCACACTTGTTCACAGATACACACGTGCACATACGTGCACACATACTGCGTGCACACTCACACACGTGCATGCACACACTCAGACACCCTCATGGAGACTGTGCTCTCTCAATCCAAAAAGGGTTTGTCATTTCAATTAAACTCACCCAGATCTGTGTCACATGTTAGGGAAGGCTGAATTACGAAACAAGACTGAATTACTTTAGCTATCTCCTTAGGGATTGATCTATATCAAAGAAACCACCGTCTATACACACAGAGAAGATTTTACTTGTGAAAAACAGGGTCAGGTTCCGAAGAGCAGCATTCAGGGTGAACTCAAAGCCTTGCGAGTGGAAGGACGTAGACTGAGGTGCACCCACTCGGCTCCCCTACTTCTACCTAAATCACAGGACAGGGAGCAGCTTGCAGCCCTCGCAGGGCCTGGCCTCTTTCTCCCTGCCTCCCTGGAGGTCCCTTCTCACTTGGCTCACTGTTTCAGCTGCCCAGTCAGAACAGATGGACACTAGTCAAAGAGCGAGTTCAGCACATTGGCTAAGAACCATTTCATACCCTGCCCAACCTCAGTCATCCCTTTCTGGGACATAAAGATGGGGAGTGAGGGGTCAAGGTGCTGCAAGCTTCAATTCTGTAGGAAGCTATGGTATTTTCATTTGCATCCCCTGAATAGCCGACAGTCTGATTTACACATTGATAATATGTGATGCTTTGTATTCCAGCAAATATTTAATCCCTGACCGATCGATAATCCTCGCCTGGCTGTTCTTTTTTGAAAAGAAATAAATCCCCTTTTACTCTTAAAATTCTTGAATACAATTAAACTGCTTTAAACCCAGGATGCACTGTTCCTACATGAAGCCATGTGGTTTCATAACCTCAGTTCTCAGATGTTTTTAAAGGGGCCGCTTTTGCTTTTTTCGGAGACCATACTAGCAATCCAATCTCAGTTTAATGTGTTAACAACTGATATTACAAGGCAGCATTTAAAAGTAGAGGTCTTTTTTAATCAAACAGTAAAATTACTAACCTAAACCAAACCAATAAGTATATAACATGCAATCATTTTTACATTATTTGCTTATATTCACTACAAGGATCTTGACTTACATTTTTCAGTACAAACCTTGTTTCTGTCCTTCTACATCTCCCTGCAAAGTCGTATTTTTTTTTTAATTTATTCCTATACAAATTCTAAAAAAAAAAAAGCTTTCCCCCTTTCTGGAAGTTCAAGTTGAATATTTTGAAAAATACACATTAACCGTGGGAAGAGACAGCTCTCCTCCCCGCCAGAGCTACAACACAGCCTCGAAGCCCACTGAAAGTTCCCAAAACAGCAGCAACAAAAAGCACTTGCTTTCATCTTTGGCAGAAACAAAAGCAATAACTTTCACCAAACCAGCCGAAGCCAAGAATTAATATAACACAGAACACGTCCACACTCAGACCATTACGGCTGCATCAGCTCACCACAGTATTTGTTTGAAAAAACACATCATTTGTGGTGGAGAAGGAGAACTTCTCATACAAAAAGAGGTTCTTTCAAATGCAAATTAACCCAAAGACATATTTTCCCTGCATTTGGAAAATCACCCCAACATATAAAAAACATAGTCTTGTATGAAAAACCATTGGCGCACACCCACCAGTTGCAGAAGCAATTAAATTTGCTGTAGATTACCACAACAGTGAAGAAAAGTTAACTCCTGGCTCCATAAGTCTTTAAGGACTTTATAGCATTTACTGACCTAAGTAGTCTTCAGTTTCCAGGTAGCAAAGTTCCTTCTCTTCTTCCCTGAAATGCTCATAAGGATACTGAAGGGCATTGTATCACTGAGCTGATCAGAAAAGAATATTGTCTCCAATCTTCTGGCAGGAGGAAGGCAGAAAGAAAGCAGAGAAAGAAGGCAACAAAAGGAGATAGGGAAA